ATTTCACATATAAATATATTTCATATATAATTATACATATACTCATATTTTATACCTGAAATCAGATCCTCCAATGCTAACCTATACTAAAAAGGGCATTTTTAGAGAGACATTTTAAATAAGCAAAACATTCTGCTGATAACAACAGACAAAACAACAATAATAACAATAATATCCTTTACTGAGTACTCACTATGTTCCAGGACAACAACTCAGTGAATGCAGTATCATTATTCCTATTATCCCGCAAGAAGATAGGGATAAAGAGCTCACTAAACCTTACTTGAAACTCTAAGTTTTGTTTTCAAATATTGTCCTTTGCCTCAGTTCTTTCCAATGTTCAAAGTTACAAAGCAATATGAAGTCTGCGTCTCCATGGCACATCTACCACTGCAGCCACCACTGTCACCACACCAACTCTACCACCACCGCCACGGCCTCTCTCAACTGCTCATGTAGTAACAGCTAGTCCTACCGGAAGGGGAGCAAAGAAATACTGTCTGTGTTATAAGAGTAAGACTATCATAATTATAAGCAACACATCTTGTTGAAACTTTATTATAATGGGTAAAACTCAAAGAAGAAAGACCCTCCTGGCTTAAAATAGTCTAGAACTAGGTTCTAAACTTTGTTCTCTCAAAAGCCAGCAGTGAGAATACTTGGAAAGATCACCTTAGGTGCTCTGTCTCCTCTCTCTCTCTCTCTGTCTTTCTCTGTGTGTGTATGTAAGACCTTACCTTGTCTGTAAAACAGCTAGGGGTTGAACTGTTACATCTAGACAAAAGTTAGAACGGTTTTCTTAACACATCATAAAAATTCCTAATGGAAATGTTCTTCCCAGCAAAGAAAAGCAACTGAAGAATTAGTACACAATAAAGAGGATTGCAAAGTTAATATGAAAAAGATAATTACCACTATCTGAAAGTAGTCACTAGGAATGACCACATCTCCATTCTTCATCCAGTTCACTGTGGGTACAGGCTTTCCAGAGACTGCACATTCAAACTCAATGTCCATGCTTTCATAGGCATAGAGGTTGGAAGGATGAATTAAAAACCATGGTGGAACTGCAAAGACAGGGGAAAAAAAAAGTGAGTGGATGGGGATGTGAACTTGCATGCTAAGGTCTTCACTGAGTTACAAATCACTACTCTGGGAAAGAAATATTTGTAATTCAAATCATTCCCACAAACCTTTAGCTTAATATACAGGAGTTATTGTAGAACACATCTTTTTTTTTATTGTTTTTTGCGAAATGCAGTTCAACAGTTGCAGTTAATGGTGTTTTGTCACAAGGCAAGAGTCAAAAAACAATTCTGGAAACAATAATATACACTGTAAACATTCTCAATGCCTACATGTTTGCATACAATTGACCTATACACTGAAAAGTATGTAAAGCTATGGAAACTATGCTAATAAGTAAATCGAGTAAAGGTATAGTATTACTACGAGTTGGAATCGACTCCACGGCAAGGGGTTTGGTGTTTGGTTTTTTTTTTTTTTTTTTTTTGGTTTATAGGAGGAGGCAATGCAGGGTACAAGACAAGAATGGTTAGTTATTCTATGATTTATACTTTTGTTCTTTTGTTAGGATTTAGTCAATGTATATGGACCCATTCCCTGTTGAAACTATCTGTGGCAGTATCCAAAACCAAAGCCACTATCATAGAGTTGATTCCGATTCATAACGACCCATAGGACAGAGTAGAACTACTCCATAGGGTTTCCAAGGTTGTGATCTTCATGGGAGCAGACTGCCACAACTTTTCTCCTATGGAGCAGCTGGTGGGTTCAAACTATCGAGTGCTTTAACCACTTCACCACCAGGGCTTTTTGTCTGTGGCAATAGGGAGCTAAAATTAAGTGTATTATTTTTACTGCAGACACATTTCTGTTGTCCTAGTAGTTATCTATTACATCATATTACTATACTGTATTATTTTCTCAGTATGGTGTATGATATGCTATTTTAACTTAATTTCTTAATTAGCATAATACTACTCACTTTATGATGGAAAACTGCAATAGAAAGAAAATTACAAACATAACAAGCCTTTGCTAATGAATCTCTCAGGTTCTGTTCCTCAAAGCCCTGGCAAGGAGAGGAAAATTTTAAAAGTAATGTTCACCCTCTTCCATGGGGAACCTTACAGTGAAGTCAGATTTGAATATTCATAGCGACTGAGAAGCCAGATTAAATTCACAGTGAGGTACCGGCCATGATCTCTTTTTTCAAATATGAAATAAATAAGCATTTTTATCAGTCATTTTGAAAGTTAGATGGTGTTTTGTTTTTGTTGTTATGCTCAATGAGTAACAAGTGTCAATTTTTATTCCTTGAGTAACCACCATATTTTGCTGTTTCCAGCCACCATCAGCAATACTTTCCACTGCCATCACAGGGGATTTGCCTCCTAGAAAAATGGAAGAACTAGTGGAAAGCTCCCAGGATTCAAGTTCTAGTTTTTCCTGCTGAATGATTTTGGATGTCTCTCTCTCTCTCTCTGTTCTCTCTTGCTATAACTCTCACTCTCCTGATTTGTAACTAAATATTTTGAACCTCTAGTACAAAATAATTTTTAAATTCTTTAATTTTTCACAGGAGCGAATTGATTTAGGTGGCTCAGTTGGGATGCATTAATAATCATAGACTAAAGACGAGAAAATAAAGTAAGTATCTGAGAGCTCTTGTAAAAAGAACATGCCCCCTTTTATACAGTACTGAGTTTATTTACTTACTACTGATACTATTATTAGTTTGATGGGACATTTTTGATTCCTTGGCCAAATTAACTGCAAAAGACATCAGAAATACATACTGATTGCCTCTAAGCATATATATTAGTTGTCTCTTTTGGATTCTGTTCTGTTTTCCCAGAGGTTTTGATCAAGTCTTTATTGACTAGCCAATAACCAATATTTACTGAGAGCTGATTAGTCTAAGTGCTTTATATGTCTTATTCTCACCACAGCTTGCTGAGGCAGGCTCTATTATCCCCATTTTCCAAATGATCAGATGAGGTACAGGTGAACAAATACCGTTTCCAAATTACACAGTTTGTAAGTTGTGGAGCCAGACAATCTGACTCCTTGGCTGCATTCTGAACTATTTTGCTACAGCTTTCTCTTCTGCCAATTGAAAATTCAGGCAGCAGGATAACACATAAATATTCCAGTACTCTTAGAAATTATGGAGATAAACGATTAGAGCTATTAAGAGAAAAATAAAACAAAAAAAACACCATGTTGTCTAATCCATCTCTTCCTTTAAGTCCTTCTTTTCTGGCGCCATGAAAAGTAGCCGAGCCTATCCATACTTAATGTTCACTTTCATCAGACTTCCTGGATCATTTATGTGTATACCAGAGTTTTTTAAATTTTGGTTCACACCCATTAGTGGATCTTGAATTTAATTCCCTGGGTTGAGAGCAACGAGTGTGTATGTGTGTGAATGTGTGTGTGTGTGTATATATGTATATATATACATATATATATATATATATAGGAAGACCCTCAATGAGACGGATAGATACAGTGGCTGCAACAATGAGCTCAAGCACAGTGATTGTGAGGATGCCACAGGACTGGGCAGTGTTTCCTTCTGTCGTAATAGGTTTCTATGAGTCAGAACTGACTCTACAGCACCTAACAACATATCTATGTATGTGTGTATACATTAGTAGCCCTAGTGGCACAAAGGTAAGCACTCTGCGGCTGACCAAAAAGTCAGGGGTTCCAACCCATCAGTCTCTCTGGGAGAAAGATGTCACAGTCTGCTTCTGTAAAGATTACAGCCTAGGAAACCCTATGGTACAGGTCTACTCTGTCCTCGAGAATTGCAATAAGTCAGAATCGACTCTATGGCAATAGGTTTAGTGTTTTGGTTGTGTATATATATATAGCAAAACCTGTGAAAGCCAGAATCTGTGTAAGGCAGAAACCTGTCAGAGAAGGAATATTCAAAACTAAAATGAGGTAGGATTCTTTTTTTTTTTTAATATATATTTTATTGTACTTCAGGTGAAGGCTTACAGAACAAATACTTTCTCATGGAACAGTAGTACACATGTTGTTTTATGACATTGGTTAACAACCCCACAACATATTAACCCTCTAACTTCTCAAC